AAAGGGTCAGCAGTTCACAGCCTCCTTTCCCCTGTCCACTGGAGCTCAACCTGCAGCTCTCACTGCACGTGGACCCCGAGCCACCAGCACTGAATGGATTCTTTAACAGGCCAACCCTGTCACTGCAGTGCTGGCTGTTCCTGTGGCTGAAGTGGAGCAGTGGTCCTTTGGATTTTACTCCTATGCCACAGCAGGAGCCCTCACCTGCCCTTCAGATCTCCACAGAACAAGCGCATTGAGTTCAGGATTTTTGGAGAGCCCCTTCTCCTGCAGGTTTATCTGAAAATCCCAGTCTTCAAACAACAAAGCAGAACACACAGTCAAGAAGCCACAGTCAGACACTGCACATGCTGCACCATCACTTTCCTTGTCCTCCATGTGAGCAAGAAACACCAAAAAGGTTTTGCATCAGAGAAGCTGTACCACACAGGCCGTTCTGTATCTCCTCAGGCAGCTGCAGATACCTTTAGCAGTTGGTTTAAGGAGAGAGGGGGCAGAGAGAAAAGCATAGAATCATGGAATGGTTTGTGCTGGAAGAGACCTTAAAAATCATCTACACAGAAGTCTGGAGAGACATGTCACAGGAAGAGGTGCTGCAGAAGCAGACCCCTTGAGGTCTGTGTTCTGGATCACAAGTAACAGATGCTAAATCCCCCGCCCCAGGTCACTCACAGAACCTTTCCCCCCTCTACACAGCAGCTCTGGCAAGAGGTATTTCCTTCTCTAACTTAACTGAAGCCTCTTACTTACCTTCCTCAAATGCCTGCCCCTGGCTTCTGACATTTCACTTCCTCAGGGATCTTTTCTCCAACTCTTAGCAGCAGCTTCCTCCCCCTGAAATACCTGCTCTGCCATTGCCTCAGCTGTGATCAGGAATACAGACACATCCTGGAAGTCCTTTTTGTCCTTCCTAGCAGTCCCTAATGACTGCTGTTAACAAAGCCTTGGGGAGCTTATAGTGAAGTTAATTTTATCAACCAAGTGAAAGAGAGAAAAAAATCAGCATATAAAGTCCTTCATCCTAAACCGAGGGTCTGAGTTCCAAACACCATGTCCAGGGAACCAGCTCTCACCTCTTAATGCCTCCCACATGCTCAAAACAACAGCAGAAATTGCAGCTGCCTCACCATGTGCACACCATAGGGTGAGATGCAATTCACCTTCCAGAAACAAATCCTTCCAAGCTGAAAATGCCTTTTTTTTCACATGAAACAGTTTTGCTTCAGTGAAAATTTCTTAAAAGGGGGGGGAAAAAAACCCAGAATCTACCAGAAGTTAGAGCTCAGCTAGAAACAGAACAAAGAGGGTTAACTAATGGTTCTGAGCTGGATGGGATTCATCCTGCCAGCCTTAGTGAGTCTGGGCCGTTCCAGTGCAGGCTGTAGAGTTTCTAGACTTGAAAGGGAAAGAAAAAAAGAAATTGGACCTTGGCTAACTCGAGGTGCCCAGGCAGAAGAGGCTGGGCACACACACTGTTCCCAACAGGCTTGGGGCAATGACTCTCTGTCTTCTCCAGTGTGGTTCTGCCTCTCTCCAACCAGAAAACCTTCAAACTGCCCCACAGGCCCACTGCTGTCAAGTCCTGTGCCCCAGACTGTCCATCTCATACTTCTTGTGTCCAGCACAGTGGATATGACTGCAAAACACACTGTATGACCCTTCCCAGGTTACACTGACATCCTATATGGGTCACTTGGTTGTGAGTGAAATGGAAGGTCTTGATCTGGGTGAAAACCCACTCCAGAAGGGTGAAGGGGAGGCAGAGACATGGTGGGTCCCACAGTCACTTCCTCACAAGATATCAGGGACATGGTCTCCCCTTGGTGCACAATCACCACGAGTGCAGAGGTGAGTAGATGTCCCTAAGGTACATGGCCATTGGGAGCACAGTCAGTTAAAAGGGGTTATGAAACAGAAAGAGGTACAACGTGTGGCAGAAGGTGATAAGAGACTGATCCCAGGGGCAGCAGCTCCAGCCACTGGTCCCTGTGGCAGCCAGCAGGTGGCTTCTGCAGAGAGCAACACAGCCCCACGCCAAGGCCTGGGCACAGGAACAATTCCCAGATCCTGCTCAGTGTTGTCCTGGACACAACATACTCATGTTTCAGCCCAGAAACCCTCCACGTCTGGGGCTGCATCAAACGAGCTGTGGGCAGCATCTGAGGGGGGGATTCTGCCCCCCTGCTCTGCTCAGGTGAGACCCCACCTGTGTCAGGCAGTGCTGCCTCCAGCTCTGAGGTCCTCGGTACAGGAAGGACATGGACCTGCTGGAGCAATTCCAGAGGAGGCCATGGAGATGCTCTGAGGGCTGGAGCCCCTCTGCTCTGGAGTCAGGCTGGGAGAGTTGGGGCTGTTCAGCCTGCAGAAGGGAAGACTCCAGGGAAACCTTAGAGCCCCTTCCAGTGCCTAAAGGGGCTCCAGGAGAGCTGGAGAGGGACTTTGGACAAGGGACGGAATGACAGGACAAGAGGGAATGGCTTCCCACTGCCAAAGGGCAGGGTTAGATGGGATTTTGGGGAGAAATTCTTCCCTGTAAGGGTGGGGAGGCCCTGGCACAGGTTGCCCAGAGAAGCTGTGGCTGCCCCATCCCTGGAAGTGTTCAAGGCCAGGTTGGACAGGGCTTGGAGCAACCTGGGCTAGAGGAAGGTGTCCCTGCCCATGGTAAAGGTGTAGAACAAGATGTTCTTTAAGGTCCCTTCCAACCCAGGCCATTCTATGGTTCTGATACTCAAATACTGCCCTGGGAAGCTTAGAGGGACCATTCATTATATTCTGTTTGGAGGTGTCAGAGGAAACCCCAGGGGTCTTTCCAGCCACTGTCACACACAGAGACAGACACACACACACAGACACAGAGTTTATGCAGTTCTTACAACACCGGGGCTGGGAAGAGCCTTTCCTTGTGGCGCTGCAGGAGCAGCCTCGGAGCTCCCCTGCCCTCGCGTGGTGCTCGGGCACTGCTGCAGCTCTGCTGTCGCTGAGCCACATCCCAGACACGTGTCACTGCAGCGCCCTCAGCAGAGGCTGGGCAAGATGCTGTGCTCCTTCGGGCCATTCCGAATGTGCCTGACAGATCCGATCCAGCGAACACCCACATCACCCCCCACAGACACTGCCATCCTGAAGGGCAGTTCATCCTCGGAGGCTGTTTTAAGCGCTTCCCAGATCACCTTTGTGAGACATCTCTTGCAATATTACTGAAGACATCCCCTAAATCCAGAACCTCGATCTGACTCTAAGCCCTCACCTAAAGGACAGAACCAATAAGAATTCGAAAAATTATCCCAAGTCCCAGCCCAGGAACCATTTTGTGACTCCTCTGAAAGCTGGAAAAAATCCTGGACTACAGACCCAGCACACCAGAAACCACAGCCAAAGGCAGTTATGAAAATATATAGATCTAAGGCCCCAGCAAAGCAATTTATCAAAAGTCTCAGTGACCCCACTGAAGAGACATTTAGAAAATGCCCTTAGGGCATCACTGATGAAACAATTGTGAAAATCATCAAGGCAGTTGTAAAGAGTCAAACCATATGGATTTAGTGGGAACATCTCGGTGATTCTAAAATTGCCCCAAATAACACTGCATAGAAGCCATTTTGGAAGTGATCTGTAATGTCAAAGCATAGCAATAAACACCCCATTAAAAGGACCATAAAAACAAAACCAACCAAAAAATCCCACAAAGCATCCAGTATTAAAAATCTTTTGTGTGATTTTTGGAAGTATTCTCGTGGGGGCCTTTTGAAGGGATTTTTACAATGATCCTTCCATTTTTTATGGTTCTACTTACAATGGCTCCCCTGTGGGAATTTGGGCTTACTCTTGATAGCTCCTTGGCAGTATTTTTGGTCTCCTCAGTGTGTTTTCACAATAGCTCCATAATGGAGGTGGGGTATTTTTACAAGAGGCATTTCTTAGATTTTTTGGAGACAGTTTACATAATGGTTATGTAATGGTGTCTTGGGGGAGGATCAGAGATGTGATTTAAAGTGTCTGAGTGATGTTGGACTTGCGAGTATTTTCCCTGTTAAGTCTCATTCATGGGACCCATTTTATGCCATAAAGAACAAAGAGGAGACAATGGCAATCACAGGGTTCCCACTCTGACTCCAGTTGCAGGGAAGGGTACAACAGCCACATTGCAGACAGCTGAAGGTGGCATCACCCCACAGTTCCCAGGGGAACAAATTGAATCTCCCATGAATATTTCCATCCATGACTGCAACAATTCCAAATGGATCACCTGAGATGGTCCATCGGTGATCCAGGGCAATACTGACTCCCCTACAGACAAAAACAGCAAAGGAGGAAGAGTGGGGTGGCCCTGGAAGACTAACAGCCATGAGGAGTCAGGGTTCAGCCGATCACAATCCGGTAAAGCAGCCAAGGCCCTCCAGGTGATGCATCTTGTCACTAAACTGAAACTGCAGCCAGTTTTGTATGGTTGCCCCTTCTAAAAGAAGTGTCCCTGACATGAGAGCCCTGCCCAGAATCATTGCTTCTCTGACCAGAGAAGGCACAGCTGTGAGATGACAGTGTGGGGATATCTGCTCAGGCAGGGGATGTTCTGACTCCCTCCCTGGGCTGCAGGCAGTGACCATCACCTCCAGCAGCATTCCTGCCCCAAACCGAGTCATGTCTCCTTGTCCTCTACCCTCCCTGTTCATGCTGTTGGTGCCCACACACATGGCCACTCCTCCCAGACTTGAGCATGTCCTCATGGATGTCTGAAAAGTTCAGATCATGGAAACCACCCAAGCCTTGACAAAGGCCTTATGTCTGGCTAGGAGGAGGCTCCTGTTTGACTCCCAAGTCTAAAGCACTAATAACTTTTAAGACCCATGCCTGAGATTCCTCCTTATCCCTTCACAATCTGTCCTGGCTCTACACTTAGGAAATACCACCAGAGGTTCATTGGAAACTCCCTTCCACAAATTTCACATAGCAGTCACAGAGACATGCTGCCCTAGATGGACAGCTGCAGTCTTGTTACTCACCTGAGTTGTTGGTGGGTTTTATTATCATGATTATCATCATCATCAGGTGTCTGCAGCCTTGCCAATAGCCTGGGAAGGGACCTTGTGCTGCTGTACTGACACGGTATCAGCTGGATGGCTCCCAATTCTCTTCACAGCTCCAGCAAACCTCTTCCAGCCATGAGAAACAGGGATAAAAGTGCTTCCCTGCAAAGCAGAAAAGCAGAGGGGGGATGCTGTGTTTTCTTTACAGATTTTGTAGAGGGGTATTGAACCAGAGAAAGTGGAAAAGGAAGAGTTGAAGGTATTGTGGAATATTTCAGGAGAGCTGTGGGTGAACATGGACCACAACAGTGACAGTCACAACCCCGGTACCTCTCAAGGATGGAGCCCAGGCTCGTTCCCTCTTCTACCACTCCCTTGACAGTGAGCACAAGTTTCTCACCCAGGTCTCCAGCTGACTTGCTCCACAGTGCAGCCAGACTCTAAACTACCGTGTGAGAAGTGGAGGATCAAAGAGTCTGGGTTCTTCCATGATCACAGCCACAATAATCTTGCCCATCCCAAACTGGTAAACCAGCACTGAAGAAGAATTGGGAGCTGCCTGTTGCTGCTCAGGCTCGAAGGAGAGCCTGAGTGTGCAGACCCTGGCCTGTTTTTCCAGGAATATCAGTTTCTTTGACCTAAGAAATCACATCTTCCTTCTTTTCAACTGAAGAACATCCAGTGGGCAGCTGGACGGGAAGAGAATAAAGGTATTTCTTAATCCAGGGCTTGCAACAGGAACAGAAATTTTTCAATCCAACCCTGTCCCTGAGAGCATTGTCCAAACACTCCCTGAGCTCTGGCAGCCTTGGGACTGTGACCACTGCCCTGGGGAGCCTGTTCAGTGCCCAAACAGCCTCTGAGGGAAGAACCTTTTCCTGATATCCAGCCTAAACCTCCCCTGACACAGCTCCAGCTGTTCCCTCAGGTCCTGTCACTGCTCACACAGAGAAGAGATCGGTGCTGTCCCCCTGCTGCCCCTCCTGAGGAAGCTGCAGATCCTGAGGAGGTTTGACCTCAGGCTCCTCCAGGCTGAACAGACTAAGTGACCTCAGCCACTCCTCGTATGGCCCCTCTAGACCCTTCCCCATCCCTGTGTCCCTCCTTTGGACACTCTCCAATAGCTTCAGATCCTTCTTACATTGAGGTGCCCAAAACTGCCCCCAGGACTCAAGGTGAGGCCACACCAGCTCAGGTGGTGGGGGAGCCATGGATTGTTTCAAACAGGCCTTCAACACTCTCAGAGATTTCATCTATATCCTTGGAAAATCAGCACGAGGTGGATACAGAGGCTAGTTTAATGTGTCTGTTGGGAAACAAGGAGCATGTGGAGACAAGTAGTGGGCAGGCATATTCTGGCTCTTTGCTCCGTTACTCCAGGCTGTATCTCATGCACTGACAGTGTGCTCTGCCACTCTGGTCACACATCCCTCCTGACTTCAAGCTCCAGGAGAACCAGATGATGATGCAGTCTGACAAACATACTGGTACCTGCCTCCAGCACAATAATTTCTGCTTGAATTGGGTCTAGAGAACGAGGCACTGCTGATTTAAAGATCCCCTGTGGCCAAGCATCTGCCAGCTCTGAAGGCAGTGGTAAACTGTCCTCCTTGCTAAACACTGAATTCTCACCTCCAGCTGCTGGGTATTGCCAATGCTTTGCTTGCTTAGCATGGCTGAGGTCAAACAAATCCCCCAAACTCTCATTCCACATACAGCCTCCAAACAGACTGACCCCGCCCCCCGGCCAGGATAAGGTCTTAAACTCCATGTACAGATTTTCTTAAGTTGTAATTTGTTCTACATTTAGCTGGGAATTTATCTCAGGTTGCTGACAAGGACCGTATGTACGGATTCAGGTTTTTAAATCCATCCCCAGGCAGGATAGAAGCGAGCTCGAGGGCAGGGGGGAGCGGGGGTGGCTCAGGGCTGTCAGCTGGAGGCGATCTGCTGGAGATGTTGAGATGCGTGTGTGGGAAGAGATCAAAAATAGCATTCATTTAAAAATCCTGGGATACTAAAGCAGTCTTCCGCTGCCTCTCTCCCAGCTTGGCTCCAGCAGCCCTCGGAGAGCCAGTTCCGGGGGGTTCATCCTGCAGGAGCGACACATGGGGGTGGTGGGCACCACACAGCCCATGCCTGGAGCTCTGTGAGGGCTCTGCTGCAACACAGAATTGAGACTCATGGAATCACAGGATCCTTAAGTTTGGAAAAGCCCTGTAAGATCATTGAGTCCAACCCTTCCCCCAGCACTGCCATGTTGTTCACCACTAACCCGTGTCCCAAAAGTGTCACATCCGCAGGTTTTTTGAGCACTTCCAGGCATGGTGACTCCACCACTGCCCTCGGCAGCCTGGGCCAGGGCCTGATCGCCCTTTCAGGGAAGAAATTTTCCCCAACATCCAACCTAAACCTCCCGGGCTGCAACTTGAGGGCGTTTCCTCTTGTTCCCTGGGAGCACAGCCCGACCCTCCCCTGGCTCCCCCTTCCTGTCAGGGCGTTGCAGAGAGCGAGAAGGTCCCCCCTGAGCCTCCTTTTCTCCAGGCTGAGAAAGCTTTCCCCCGGCTCCGCGAGGCGCTCCCGGTGCTCCAGCCCCTTCCCAGCCCCATTCCCACCGCTGGACACGCTCCAGCCCATCCCTGTCTCTGCGGGTCCCCGCGGGGGCCGCTAGGGGGCGCTGCGGGCGCCCGTTGCCCGGCAACCGCCCGGCACTCCGGGGGGCGGGCTCGCGGCGCGGCGCGATGACGCCATCAGGGCGCGCCGCGCGGGGAGAGTGGAAGGGCGGAGCGGGGGGGGGGGCAGGCGAGGTGTGCGGGCCGGGACCTCTCCCTGCGGCGGTGAGTGCGGCCGGGCCGCGTTGGGCTGGGCTTGGCTGGGCTGGGCTGGGTCGAGCCGAGCCGGGCTGCCCCCCCCCAGGCGGGTGTGGCCGCCGCGGGGTCGCGGTGGGCGGTGGCGGGGCGGGGCGGGCGCTGAGGGGCGGGCAGGGCGGGGCGGCAGCGCCCCCTGGCGGCGGCGGGGCGCCCGTGCCATGTGGCCGTGCTGGCTGTGCCCGCAGGTGCCGCGCGCCATGGCCCCCCCCAAGGACATCATGACCAACTCCCACGCCAAGTCCATCCTCAACGCCATGAACGCCCTGCGCAAGAGCAACACGCTCTGCGACGTCACCCTCCGCGTGGAGCACAAGGACTTCCCGGCCCACCGCATCGTCCTGGCCGCCTGCAGCGACTATTTCTGCGCCATGTTCACCAGCGAGGTCGGTGCTGCCGCCGCCGCCGGCCCCCTGGGTGCTCCGTGGGTGGAGGAGGCAGGGCCGCCCGACGCTCGGGGCTGCCCTCTGGCGAGCTGCTCAGCAGCTGGGCCAGGATCCCCCTCGTGGTGGCCCAGGATCCCCTTGTGGTGGTCTTGGGAGTCCCCTGGGTACTCCCCGTGGTGGCCCAGGATGGGCCATAGTGGATCTTGATCCCCTCATGGTGGCCCTGGATTCCTCCATGGTGCCCCAAGGTCCCCCCATGGTGGCCCTGGGTCTCTCTGGTTTCCCCCATGGTGCCCCAGGGTCCCTCCATGGTGGCCCTGGGTCTCTGGTTTCCCCCATGGTGCCTCAAGGTCCCTCCATGGTGGCTCTGGGTCTTTCTGGATCCCCCCATGGTGGCCCTGGATTCCTCCATGGTGGCCCTGGGTATCTCTGGATTCTCCCACAGTGACCCTGGATTTCCCTATGGTGGCTCCAGGTCCCCCCATGGTGGCCTTGGGTCTTGCTGGATCCCCCCATGCTGGCCCTGGAGCCCCTCGTGGTGATTCTGGGTCCCCTCATGGTGGCCCCAGAGCCCTTTATCGTGGCCTGGTGTGGAGCTGGAGGTTGTACCAGGGACTGTGGTCCTGAATCATGGTGTGCTGGGACCACCCTGTGTCCAGCGAGCTGGCAGACTGAGCTGCCAAACCAGAGGGTTCTGATACATTTACTTATTTTTCTAGTGGTGATTTGTGGTTTCTGTGGTTCTGGGCATCTTTCCTGCCAAGGGCAGCAGCCCTGGTGCGGAGCTGTGCGAGCAGTGCCTGGGGAATGGCAGTGCAAGGGAGGAGGGGGTTTGGCAGCTCCCCTTGGCACTGGCTGAGCAGCTGGTGCCTGCTGGGTTGTGCTGTTGCTCGTGCTGTGGAGGTGTCACCTCCAGCACTGGGGCTGGGGTGACTGAGCCCCAGATCTGCTGCACCCAGCAGATCCCACCTGAGAGCACCTTGGCTCTTACTGGGAGACTCGTGCTACCTTTGTGCTGTTTCCCTGAGTCACTGGCAGGTGCTGTTTGAGCTAAAACTGGCGCTCGTTTGTGCTGTTAAACATCAGATGCTTTGCCTGGCTTTGTCTTTTGTGGCTTTTTCTTGCAGAAGATGCTTTCCTTATCCTACCACCTTTCCCATTAGCAGGGAGAAACATTAACAAGTAGCTCATAGGTCCTAAAGCCCTCCCTGCTAGCCCAGGAGTCCTTGCAGCAGAGAATTATTTTGTTCTTTGTTTTACCCAGCAAAGAAGGCTGTGGCACAGCTCTCTGTGTGCCCACTGCTCTCAGTGCTGTCAGGGAAGCAGGTGTTTCAGTTTTTACAGTCCTGTGCAAAGCAACCAAAAGAAGACATGTGTGGCCTGATCACATACCAATATATTTTTTGGTCCACATCTTCGTGCAATTTGTAAATTCATCAGGTTTATGCTCTTTCTCTGCATAAAGGAAATGTAATTTAAAGCAAAAATTACACAAAGCAAATTCAGTCCCTGGAGGCTGAAGTTCTCTGTTCTCCAGTAGCTCCAGGTGCACAGCAGTACAGCAGAGTGTCTCTGCTTCTTCGGGTCTGCCTCCGCATTCCTGTCAATGCGTTTGACTTCTGGACTTCCTCTAGGCAGTGTGCAGAGATCCAGTCACTCCATGTGCTCCAGAACATTCTTTGTGGCTGCTCACAAAGGCTGAGGGTTGATGTGCTTTGAGTCTGAGCTGAGCTGTGTCTCCTTCCTTCGTTAATTGTTCCTTCGTTAATTCCTCGTGTTAATTGTAACCTCTTCATTGAGAGATGTAGTTCTTCCTAGGAATGAGATTCTTCCTTGGAAAGTGGACAACAGGCAGGATCACTCGCTCTCTTCCACCGCAAACTGCCTTTGCTTTAAGGGTTTTGCTTAGTTTGTATTTCTTCCAAATTTGGGGTTTTTCTGCATGGAAACACTGAAGTGACCAGCCTGCCAAGGGGCACACGATTATGGAGTGTTTGTGGGAGAGCTCCCTTCCAGGAAAGGGCAGTTTGGTAAGCCTCAGAGTGGACCTGCTTCCTGTGTGTCCTGGGGGGTGTGATGGGACAGTGCTTGGGCACTCTCCAGGCACTTGTGGGTGCAGAGTTTGGCCGTGGCTGGGACTCGAGGGAGCTCAGAGTGCCATGTGGTGTCAGGGGCTAACAGTCCATGGCACTTCATCGCTCACCTCCTGCCAGTCTGGGGACTGCTTGGCTGCTCTGATGTACCAGATTGGGGCTGCACAAGGCTTTGTTCAAAACTGGTCCCAGGGTTATGCCACAGCGTTCCTGGTGTTATGTCCCAGGTTTATGCCGTGGCATTCCTGGTGCCACATCTGTGCATGGCCAGGACAGCACTGAGACTGTCAGAAGACATTGTCATAAAGAGCTGCCTTTGCCCATCCCTGTCTCTCTAGTTTCCTTCCTTCTCTCACTTCTGACTTTAACATTTTAAGAAGTTCTCAGTCTTGCTTGGTATTAATTTCGTCCCGTTTTCTGTTCCCGTTTTC